TAGCAAAAACAGGTTTTAAGACATTTTTGCTAATTTATATTTTTAAACTTACATATGACATTTACATAAGTATTCAGACCCTTTACTCAGTACTTTGTTGAAGTACCTTTAGCAGCGATTATAGCCTGAAGTCTTCTTGGGTATGACGCTACAAGCTTGGCACATCTGTATTTGGGGAGTTTCTCCCATTCTTCTCTGCAGATCCTCATAAACTCTGTCAGGTTGGATGGGGAGCGTTGCTACACAGCTATTTTCAGGTCTCTCCAGAGATGTTCGATCGGGTTCAATTCTGGGCTATGGCTGGGCCACTCAAGGACATTCAGAGACTTGTCCTGAAGCCACTCCTGCGTTGTCTTGGCTGTGTGCTTAGGGTCGTTGTCTTGTTGGAAGGTGAACCTTCGCCCCAAGTCTGAGGTCCTGAGTGCTCTGGAGCAGGTTTTCATCAAGGATCTCTCTGTACTTTGCTCCGTTCATCTTTACCTCGATCCTGACTAGTCTCCCAGTCCCTGCTGCTGAAAAACATCCCCACAGCATGATGTTGCCACCACCATGCTTCACCGTAGGGATGGTGCCAGGTTTCCTCCAGATGTGATGCTTGGCATTCAGGCCAAAGAGTTCAATCTTGGTTTCATCAGACCATATAACCTTGTTTCTCTTGGTCTGAGAGTCTTTAGGTGCCTTTTGCCAAACTCCAAGCGGGCTGTCATGTGCCTTTTACTGAGGAGTGGCTTCTGTCTGGCTACTCTACCATAAAGGCCTGATTGGTGGAGTGCTGCAGAGATGATTGTCCGTCTGGAAGGTTCTCCCATCTCCACAGAGGAACTGTAGAGCTCTGTCAGAGTGACCATTGGGTTCTTGGTCACCTCCCTGACCAAGGCCCTTCTCCCCCAATTGCTCAGTTTGGCTGGGCAGCCAGCTCTAGGAAGAGTCTTGCTGGTTCCAAACTTCTTCCATTTAAGAATGATGGAGGGCACTGTGTTCTTGGGGACCTTCAATGCTGCAGACATTTTTTGGTACCCTTCCCCAGATCTGTGCCTCGACACAATCCTGTCTCGGAGCTCTACGGACAATTCCTTCTACTTCATGGCTTGGTTTTTGCTGTGACATGCACTGTCAACTGTGGGACCTTTTATAGACAGTTCTGTGCCTTTCCAAATCATGTCCAATCAATTGAATTTACCACAGGTGGACTCCAATCAAGTTGTAGAAACATCTCAAGGATGATCAATGGAAACAGAATGCATCTGAGCTCAATTTCGAGTCTCATAGCAAAGTGTCTGAATACTTATGTAAATAAGGTATTTCTGTAAAAAAATATACAGTGGGGAGAACAAGTATTTGATACACTGCCGATTTTGCAGGTTTTCCTACTTACAAAGCATGTAGAGGTCTGTAATTTTTATCATAGGTACACTTTAACTGTGAGAGACGGAATCTAAAACAAAAATCCAGACAATCACATTGTATGATTTTTAAGTAATTAATTTGCATTTTATTGCATGACATAAGTATTTGATCACCTACCAACCAGTAAGAATTCCGGCTCTCACAGACCTGTTAGTTTTTCTTTAAGAAGCCCTCCTATTCTCCACTCATTACCTGTATTATATGCACCTGTTTGAACTCGTTACCTGTATAAAAGACACCTGTCCACACACTCAATCAAACAGACTCCAACCTCTCCACAATGGCCAAGACCAGAGAGCTGCGTAAGGACATCAGGGATAAAATTGTAGACCTACACAAGGCTGGGATGGGCTACAGGACAATAGGCAAGCAGCTTAGTGAGAAAGCAACAACTGTTGGCGCAATTATTAGAAAATGGAAGAAGTTCAAGATGACGGTCAATCACCCTCGGTCTGGGGCTCCATGCAAGATCTCACCTCGTGGAGCATCAATGATCATGAGGAAGGTGAGGGATCAGCCCAGAACTACACGGCAGGACCTGGTCAATGACCTGAAGAGAGCTGGGACCACAGTCTCAAAGAAAACCATTAGTAACACACTACGCCGTCATGGATTAAAATCCTGCAGTGCACGCAAGGTCCCCCTTCTCAAGCCAGCGCATGTCCAGGCCCGTCTGAAGTTTGCCAATGACCATCTGGATGATCCAGAGGAGGAATGGGAGAAGGTCATGTGGTCTGTTGAGACAAAAATAGAGCTTTTTGGTCTAAACTCCACTCGCTGTGTTTGGAGGAAGAAGAAGGATGAGTACAACCCCAAGAACACCATCCCAACCGTGAAGCATGGAGGTGGAAACATCATTCTTTGGGGATGCTTTTCTGCAAAGGGGACAGGACGACTGCACCGTATTGCGGGGAGGATGGATGGGGCCATGTATCGCGAGATCTTAGTCAACAACCTCCTTCCCTCAGTAAGAGCATTGAAGATGGGTCGTTGCTGGGTCTTCCAGCATGACAACGACCCGAAAACACAAAGCCAGGGCAACTAAGGAGTGGCTCCGTAAGAAGCATCTCAAGGTCCTGGAGTGGCCTAGCCAGTCTCCAGACCTGAACCCAATAGAAAATCTTTGGAGGGAGCTGAAAGTCCGTATTGCCCAGCGACAGCCCCGAAACCTGAAGGATCTGGAGAAGGTCTGTATGGAGGAGTGGGCCAAAATCCCTGCTGCAGTGTGTGCAAACCTGGTCAAGACCTACAGGAAACGTATGATCTCTGTAATTGCAAACAAAGGTTTCTGTACCAAATATTAAGTTCTGCTTTTTTGATGTATCAAATACTTATGTCATGCAGTAAAATGCAAATTAATTACTTAAAAATCATACAATGTGATTTTCTGGATTTTTGTTTTAGATTCCGTCTCTCACAGTTGAAGTGTACCTATGATAAAAATGACAGACCTCTACATGCTTTGTAAGTAGGAAAACCTGCAAAATCGGCAGTGTATCAAATACTTGTTCTCCCCACTGTATATACATTTGCTAACATTTCTAAAAATCAGTTTTCGCTTTTTCATTATGGGGTATTGTGTGTAGATTGCGGTGACACCATTTATATGAATGCAACTGCTACTACACTGAAACCATTAGATGCAGTTTAGAACAGCACACTCTGCTTTATTATGGGTGACAGGTTCAGTACACATCATTGCATCCTATATCAGAATGTAGGCTTGCCCTCCCCTAAGTCTCATAGATCAATACGTTGCTCTCTTTTTGTTTATAAAGGCCTCTTGTGCAAACTTCCGTCGTACCTTACTTCATTGTTAAATTACAGACATACGAGTTACCAGACCTGATCACAGGGATGGCTTACTCTAGATGTCCCATTGATCACTACAGAATTACAGTAGGTAAATCTGCATTACGTTTTTTTCCGCCCCATATATGGAATGATCTGCAGAGCTCTCTTTACCTTGACGCTCTGGTGCCTCTAGGGCAATTCAGGTTGTACATTTTGTATAATTTGTGTACATGCAGGGCTCTCTTGCAAAATAGGTTTTGGTCTGAATGGGATTTCCCCGTCAAAATAAAGGTACAAAAAAAGTAAGTAATAATTTTTTTTTACAGTGATGGCATTTCAGTGATTGTGCAATTAACAGCAGAAGAAGAATTTGCTGAGATAGTCTTTATTTCCATGTGAACTTAATTTTAGTGTGTACACTCTTAGAAAAAAAGGTGCTATCTAGAATCTTTAAGTGGGTTCTTCAGCTGTCCCCATAGGAGAACCCTTTGAAGAACCGTTTTTGGTTTCATCACATCAGGCCTTCACAGCTTTTCTTGATCGCTAAGACACTTTTAATTAAACGTTTCATGAAACTGATCTCCATCATAACCTAATGAGCACAACAGTATACTAAGTCACTCATTGCTTTCACACAAAATGCAAATGCTAAGCAGTAAACACAACTCTCTACAAAAGATGTAACACTCAGTTGAGTAAATCATGTAAACATTTGGTGACAGCTGATACAAATTACACCCATGAATGTGAACCTCTTTTGCACATGTGCAAAACTTCTTTACACAATTGTTCAATCAGCAATCAGTCCTTTTTCATGCATTAAAATGGTCACTCATCTCTGAATTGCTGTTTGCAAGGATGGACCAAGTAAGAGGCCGAGGGCAAGGACAAAGGAGAGGTAGAGGGGCCCATAGAGGAAGAGGGGTTCAGATGTGTGGAGGTGGAAAGTTTAAGATGACCTTCTACATGACCAGATGTCCCTCCTAGACACAATGACTGCCTATTGTATGGCAATCACTGCAGAGGACTGCCAAGCGTGAATGCGCCATGCAAGGAGAGATTTTTCATCGCTGCACTGCATGGGAAAAAAATCCAGTGTGATGTTGATGAAAACATGTGGCCTGATTGACAAGAACGAGTGGACTGAATGTGGTGTATATTGTATTGGTTTTGCCTTTTTTATTTTTTATTCTCTGTATATACTGTACAGCATCATTGAATTTGTAAAGGACAACATGGAAAAAGTTAAAAGAAAGCATTTTGTTTCTGGATATTCATGCTCTGAGTGACATTCTTTCTGCTTTGGTCATCTTTGGTAAAATCATCTTAGGAAAAAAAGAATACAGCCCATGCTGTGATAATATGTTTACTTGTCTTTTATGGTGCATACTATTATTATAGTATCAGTAAATGGCAGAGAAATATATAGGAAGGTTAACCATGTTAGGGTATATTGATAGTTGTAGTTAGTATTTATTGGGCCATTGTGTAACGATTGATTTGAAATAACTTTTCATTAGATAACAAGTTGTATGTTCTGATGGAGGTAGTTGATTTTGTATCATGTATTTAATGTTTTGAGAGTCTTAATGCATTTTGCAAATGAAATGAGTCATTTTGGCCAATGTGTTTCAGTTGGGGCTGCATGTTAATTGTTTCAAAAATGTAAATTCTGTTTGGACACATTTTCTCAAGCATTCGAGAAAAACTGTAATTTGCTACATTGCTATGTTATTAGAGAAGAACTATGATTTTTAAGTCAATGTGTTGATATTGAGTCTCTCTTTCTTTCCACAGTACTCTGTGCAGCCCAGCATTCAGCCCAGCCTGAGACTCAGCAGGTGAAAGGCATCGTGGGAAAGTTTCTCTCTTTTCCAGAGAGGGTGTTAAAGTCTGGCAATTTACTTTATGGAGACCTTGGCAATATTGCACAGGTGTACCCTGGTAAACAAAGTAATACCAACCTTGTGAAGAGATTTAAATACCGCCTTCACTGGAACAATGTTACTGGATTCTTCACTTTGTCAGACCTACAAATAGAGGATTCTGGGGTTTATACCGTGGAGAATGCAGATGAAGATGAAGGGAAGTCGACACATACATTTCAGCTGACTGTGTACTGTAAGTGTGTGTGTGTGGGTGTGTGTTGTAAATGACAAAATCATTAAAGTGGCAATCAGCAGTAGAAACGTTAATAAAGCGTTCTCCCCGCCCCTAGTTCTGTAAAAAGCTGAGGGATAGGGCTGGAGAAATGTAACCACTCTCAAATTCATAGACAGAGCTATGGATGCAAGGACTGATCAACCATTATATAAGAAGTATAGTTTTAACCATGTTTTGAGACTATATAGTGTTTGTTCACAATTTCTTTGTTTACAAACACCGGAGTAAAACAAGCTGATGGGTTCTCCTAAACTCAGGAGGCATTTATAAGTTATATTATTCAAGAATCAAAGGGTACATATCATTAATTTATAAGTCCAAAAATGGATATAACAACTGCTCTTTGCCACTTTAAAGATAAGTTCCATTTCAGCAATTCTAATTTTTTCATTATTTGTCTTCCAGATGTTCTATCCAAACCTCAGGTGACGGTCCATGACAACAGCTCCTGTAGCGTGGTGTGTTCTGTGGAGAACGGGAGAGAGGTGACACTGTCCTGGTACAGAGGAGGGGAGATACTCAACCAGAGCAGCAGCCCTGACCTGAACATCACCCTCTCTCTACCTCTCAAGGTGGATGAACAGAACAGAGACTCTTACAGATGTGAGGCTGCCAACCCAGTCAGCAAGGAGACCACTGTTGTTCCAAATTCCTGTATAAAGAGTGATCCCTCCAAGGTGACAGGTAAAAAAAAAAAAATAATGTACAGTAGCAATGTTAAATTGCTGATATCCAGACAATACCAAATTCAATATGAAACAATAAGTATGGTAGAGCTCATTTTATGAAACAATGTTTTAATTAAAAAATTGTTTTCTCTCTTTTTACTTTAGATGGGGATGAGAGGACTCGAGGTTGTCTTATTATTGCTGTAATCTGCGTTTTGTTTGCCTCCGGACTTGTTGGACTTGCAATCTATCTAAAGAAGGGTAGAAATGGACACTCACAAGGCAGGTATTTATCTTTTAGCGGGGTGAGGTCATTCTCCTTGTCAAAGTCAAACCTTTTTAAATGATCAAGGATAGTGTTTTGGAAAAGGTAGGAAATGTTTGCCTGAACAACAGATGCAGGTCAAATGAAGAGACATGTCTTCCACACTTCCTCTGCTTGGTCAGACAGTTTCATTATCTCAGACCACTTCTCTAAATGTTGAAAAAGCAGAAGGAACATATACACACACACACACTCTGACAATGATTACTTTATAGCTTCGCTGGCTCCAAAAGGATTGCTAGCACAGACACAGGTATCCATAGTAACATGAGTCGTTAGTGTTTGCAGAACCTGTCTTGGGGGTGAGCATTTGTGCATATCTGCCAGTTACTCCCACCCACACTGTATTTTTCATTTCCTTTATTTGTCTTTATAGATTCACCCGGAAGAAAGCAAGATGAAATAGAGTATGCAGAGATAACTCACATTAATCCAGCAGATAACCAGGTTAGGAATAATGCTACAGTCTGATAAACATAGGAGACGTAATACAGCAGCTTTTGCAGCCCTCATGGCTACAACTATAGGATTTATTTTTGTGCCAGTAGGTTAATTTGGTCTTGAGTTGCACAGACCACCTGAGTTTGATACCAAAACTGGTTGGTCGGGTTGCATAATGAGAAGCCACTGTAAGGTTCTGTATTTATTTTCTTAGTCAACCTTGTGTTCTTGAACGTAGCCCTGCTTCTTTGTGTTCTTGAACATAGCCCTGTCTTTCATGTTTGTTAATTGATTTCACCTGTGTTTGTTACTCACCTGGTCTCATCAGCTCCTTATTTAGTTCAGTTCATTCTGTTTGTGCCTTGTGAGGTATTGTTCGTTTTGACTCTACTAAGCCTTTTCCTAGCTTGTTTGTGAGAACCAGTTATAGCCTTCAGTCCTAGTTTTTGAGTCTCCTGCCTGTTTGCCTACCTGTGTATGACCATTGCCTACCTGTGACCACGATTCATGCCTTTTGCGAAGGCGAAATAAACACCTGCCGCGCTCTGCACGTGTGTCACGTTCGTTTACAGACGGGACGGACCAAGGCGCAGCGTGATATGCGTACATGTTTATTAAATATTAAACACAACGACAAAATAACAAACAAAACGAAACGTGAAGTCCAAGGCAGCACAACACAACATACCTTAACTGGAACAAGATCCCACAACCCACTAGTGCCAATAGGCTACCTAAGTATGGTCCCCAATCAGAGACAACGAGCTACAGCTGCCTCTGATTGGGAACCACACAACATAGATCTACACGATCTAGATCTAAACATAGAAAATGCAACATAGAACATACAACACAGAAAATACACACCTTGACTCAACAAATAAGAGTCCCCAGAGTCAGGGCGTGACAGTACACCCCCCCCCCCCCCCCCCCCACAAAGGTGCGGACTCCGATCGCACAAAATAACCATAACAGGGTAGGGGCCGGGTGGGCATTCCGCCTCGGAGGCGGATCCGGCTCAGGGCGTGACGACCACTTACTCTCCGCCTCCCTGTTGCGCCCCTGGTCTGGTCTGGACCTCGGCGCGCTGCTTCCCCTCTCCTTCCTCTCACGAAGTACCAAGCCCTGTCTGGATCCTGGTGTGGGAGACCCCGAAACTGGAGAGGGGCTGACGTCTGGGTCTGGACTGGAGCCGCTGACCGGAGCTGGACCGGGCACCGGTGGAGCGGACTGCTCTGGCTCCAGAGTGGAGCAGCTGACCGGAGCTGGATCAGGCACCGGTGGAGCGGACTGCTTTGGCTCCGGAGTGGAGCCGCTGACCGGAGCTGGACTGGACCCCGGTGAAGCGGATTGCTCTGGCTCCGGAGTGGAGCAGCTGACCGGAGCTAAACTGGGCACCGGTGGAGCGGACTGCTCTGGCTCCGGAGTGGAGCAGCTGGCCGGTGCCGGACCAGGCACCGGTGGAACATGCACGGGCCGTGCCGGACTGGACACACGCACCACTGGCTTGGTGTGGGGAGCAGGAACGGGCCGGACCGGGCTGGCGACGCGCACCACTGGCTTGGTGCGGGGAGCAGGAACAGGCCGTACCGGTCTGGTGACGCGCACCACTGACCTGGTGCGGGGAGCAGGAACAGGCCGGGCCGGGCTGGCGACGCGCACCACTGGCTTGGTGCGAGGGGCAGGAACAGGCCGGGCCGGGCTGGCGACACGCACCACTGGCTTGGTGCGAGGGGCAGGAACAGGCCGGGCCGGGCTGGCGATGCATACCACTGGCTTGGTGCGAGGGACAGGAACAGGCCGGACCGGGCTGGTGACGCGCACCACTGGCTTGGTGCGAGGAGCAGGAACAGGCCGGGCCGGGCTGGCGACGCGAACCACTGGCTTGGTGCGAGGGGCAGGAACAGGCCGGGCCGGGCAGGCGACGCGCACCACTGGCTTGGTGCGAGGAGCAGGAACAGGCCGGACCGGGCTGGTGACGCGCACCACTGGCTTGGTGCGAGGAGCAGGAACAGGCCGGGCCGGGCTGGCGACGCGAACCACTGGCTTGGTGCGAGGGGCAGGAACAGGCCGGGCCGGGCTGGCGACGCGCACCACTGGCTTGGTGCGAGGAGCAGGAACAGGCCGGGCCGGGCTGGCGACGCGCACCACTGGCTTGGTGCGAGGGGCAGGAACAGGCCGGGCCGGGGTGGCGACGCTCACCACTGGCTTGGTGCGAGGGACAGGAACAGGCCGGACCGGGCTGGCGACACGCACCACTTGCTTGGTGCGAGGAGCGGGACTGGGTTCCTTTATTAACCCCCGCTCCTTCTGCTGCCTAACCAGCTCCTCTCGCCGTGCCTCTACACTCTCCTTCTCCCTTATAGCCTCCTGTAGCGCCTCCCTCTGACCGAATAACTCCTGCTCCCTCTGAACCAATAGCCCCCGTAACATGGTGGCCTCCTCTCCTAACCTGCAGACCCGCCCTTTAACGGCCTCCTGCTGCCTCGTCGTCCACACCGTGTGCCCCCCCCCAAAAAAATGTTATTGGGGTTGCCTCTCGGGTCTCTGTTGTCGGCACTCCTCCTCCTGTGAGGACTCCTCCGGGAGCCCCCACGAGTTAGGGAACAGAAACTCGTCGTCATCCTCCGACTCCTCAGTATAATACTGTTCCTACTCCTCTTCCCATGGTCGTAGGGACCCAATCTGAAAACCGACCGGGTGCAGTGGTCGGGGCTCTTCTCTCTCGCTCCCCGACCACCCCTTTAGCTCCCCCCAAAAACTTTCTTGGGGCTGTCTCTCGGGCTTCCTCCTCGACCGGCGTCCTCTGCGTTGCCGTTGCTCCTCTCCTGCCTGGGTATCTACCTTCGCCCATGGCCCTTTCCCCGCGAATATCTCTTCCCATGACAACAATTTGCCCACCTGGGACATGGCTATTCGCTCCTCCTGGGCATGCTGCTTGGTCCTCGTTTGGTGGGATCTTCTGTCACGATCGTTTACAGACGGGACGGACCAAGGCGCCGTGTGATATCCGTACATGTTTATTAAATATTAAACACAACGACAAAATAACAAACAAAACGAACCGTGAAGTCCAAGGCAGCACAACACAACATACCTTAACTGGAACAAGATCCCACAACCCACTAGTGCCAATAGGCTACCTAAGTATGGTCCCCAATCAGAGACAACGAGCTACAGCTGCCTCTGATTGGGAACCACAACGGCCAACATAGATCTACACGATCTAGATCTAAACATAGAAAATGCAACATAGAACATACCACACAGAAAATACACACCCTGACTCAACAAATACGAGTCCCCAGAGTCAGGGCGTGACAGCGTGAATCTACACCTTTTTCTCCCTGAGTATTCATTACAGCCACACAGCACATATTGTATATACACTAAACACAAATATAAATGCAACATGTAAAGTGTTGGTCGCATGTTTCATGAGCTGAAATAAAAGATCCCAGAAATGTTCCAAATTCACATAAAGCTTAATAAATAATATGCCATTTAGCAGACGCTTTTATCCAAAGCGACTTACAGTCATGCGTGGATATTTTTTTTTGTGTATGGGTGGTCCTGGGGATCGAACCCACTACCTTGGCGTTACAAGCGCCGTGCTCTACCAGCTGAGCTACAGAGGACCACCCATACACAAAAACAATGTATCTCTAATGTTGTGCACAAATATGTTTACATCCCCATTAGTGAGCATTTCTCCTTTGCCAAGATAATCCATCCACCTGACAAGTGTGGCACGTCATTAAACAGCATGGTCATTACACAGGTGGACCCTTGCCCAGGCATGTGAAATCCGTAGGTTAGGGCCTAATTAATTTATTGACTGATTTCCTTATATCTTTAAAATCTTTATATTTTTGTTCAGTATAGTAATGCCTTTAATCTTCCCGTGTCTTTTACAGTATTTGCCAAGTCTGTGGACATTTAAAGCTTGGCTTCGTGGTTCCTCCCACTAGCTTTATGAATGGTTCTAGATGTGTTATGTTGACTGTTGAGTTTCATACTGCAGAACAATGAGAGTAGACAAGAGAGCGTCAGACATGTCTTGTTTCTTTCCTCTGGCACAAAGTATCTAATAACGACACATATTACTCTTTTATTTCCTTGTCCCTCTCAATCCTTCCTCTCCCTGTTTAGGAGGAGCGAACAGGTGTGCTTGGAGACAACCCTAACCTGACATCCGTTTATGATCAAATCCAGTTATATCGCATGGCGAACAGCGATGACATCGACACTGCATGAAGGAGAGAGAAAACAGGAAGTTACTGAGAGGGTGACATGATAATTAATATCCAAGAGAAGGTGTTACATCCTAAAAAAGACAAAATTATAGTAAATATCCATCTAGAAAACTTAATGGAGGCACAGATTACTTGAGAAAATGCCCATTTAACCATTGCACTGTTGTTATTATTTCAGACTTCCTTTGTTGGTAATTCTCAGTCTTTTGTTGAATTGGGGCCTCGATTAGATTCACTGATACAGACAAATTCAATAGCTATGCCTAGCGTTATTAGTAGGATGATCACTCTTTTAAAGTGCCCATTGTCCCAATGTATAGGTTCAAACAATTGGAATCTATCTTTTTAATACAATTCATTAGTGTGTTTGCTATTCTACTGCTGGGCCAAAGCTTATTTTCAGTAGTCTGTTCTGTTGTACACAGCTCCCCTGTATCTTTTCATAGCTGGTCATTGTTTAGCTTGTCAGTGGATATCAGCTGTGTACATATAATAAATAGAGCAGGTGTTTGAGATAAAGCCACCTACTCCTTAGAAGCAATGGCTGTTAGGCTACGTTGGAAACAAAAAGTCCCCAACTAAAACATTTTAGTTTCACCATGTACATTCTGTTGAAACATTTCTGAGGGGTTGATCTTGATTTGCCTTTTGACTCAGAAAGTGATCTTGGGTGACATTTTACTCTTATTTCTTTTCACATAATGCAGACCTGATTAAGTGTAGTTCAGGTCTTGCTTTGACAACTGTGTTCATGCAGTTTGAATGTACAAAATCAACAGTTTAGTTTATCATGATGGACCATTTATTGCTTTTCCTTGTCTACACAGTATGTAGCTCATTATATCTTAAGAATACAATCCCTCCCTCCGGCATGCTCCTGCAGACACTCCTTCTATTAGAGCATTTTGTGCTCCACCTACGTTAGCCCACATATATAACTTTGAAAAATATATTATATCGATACTATAGTGAATTGTGGCACTATAGGCTATTTCATTTTTATAATTTCATTTTTCAGAATTTTGAGATTGGCAACATTTCTCCAGAAATACAACTCCATATTGTGGTTTTAATGTAGCCTACTTCTAGTGTCAAATTAGGAGGGACCACTGTAATTGTTTGGTGGTTTTCAAGTGCGTTTCTCTATTTATTGAGTTTAAGTGTATTTGGGACGTTTTGTCCTGTTACTTTTCATTTCAAGCAGATGTACATTTCTAATTTGAAAAGAATGATGACTAATCCTCTTAAAGTTCAAGCATTGCTTTCAAGGAAATAATGTTTTTCTTCTAATGTATTTTCCCCATCTAGTGGTTGAATGTTTTTATATTTCAGCATACTGTACTGTACATACTACACTATTTTGTACTCTGAGACAGTGTACTGTAATTGTTAGTGTAACTTAAATCAAGTGTCAGCAAAATGTTCTCAAACCTTTCTATGCTTTTACGTTTGGACTGTGGTCATGCATTTTTGTGCCAAAGTGCCATTATTGTAAGTAACATTATTGTGAGTAACAATGACAATTTGTGAAATATTCCATGTCAATCAATATGCAAATGTAAACATTGAGAACCTTTACACTTTCAATTTGATTGCTGATTTATAGCATAGCTTCACACGGTGAAGTGACGTTTTCAACGGAAATCACTGAAGTGGGGTACGAAGCAATCTTTCCCTGATGAAAGCAGTTAATCCAAGCCTGAATTCAAGCAATAACGACACACATTTTTGTTGTATTATAACTGGACTATAGCTCCCGTCCAAATGTTGTTAATGATATATAGGCCATAGTCAACTCCATTACACTCAAAAGTTACTTAAACTTCAACCAGTAAATGCTAGCGATGGCTAGCTATGCTAGCTATTCTACCAGTCTATCTTAATGAGTGTTGTTAGCAAGCTAATAGCACATCATCACACAAACATTTCTATTTTTAAGGGGTATGCAGTAGGTTGATAACGATATCACTAAAGTATGTTGTATTGGACATTTCAAACAACATTTCCAGCTAATGAGAAAACAGTCATGGTATTTAATTTAAGAGAATTAACAAGATTTAACAAGGCAACCTTGGGGCAAATTTTACTAGGTGCCAACGGCAGATTGTGAGGGATTTTTACATCCATACACCACTAGAGAGGTGTGGCCACTGTCAAACGTCATTTCATGAGGAACTATCAGAGGTCAATGTCTGCGCCGGCCCAGATGTGGTGACGTCATCACGTTTTATTAAATGAAACCCCTGTCTTTTTTCATTTGGGCAAAAAATCTGCCCTCTCTCCTCTGTCCTCTTTCCTCCGTGACCCAGAAACCAATAAGTGGTCGAGGAGAGTGTCAATTTGTTAGTAGGCAAACGGAAGACGGTCCTCCCCTCCTTGATAGCATTCTTTTGGCATGGAAGCACAAGTGTATCCTGCCTGAGTGTATCCTACCTTTCAAAATTGCCTTTGTACATTACACTGTGTTCACATTAGGCAATACACTTGCACTACCCATTTAAAATTGACTGAACATCCAATTTCCATAAATTCTGTCCCATGGTTGATCAAAGATGTGATCATTGAAGACATCTTTGACAATGTAATCAAATGAAAGAAAGGCAATAAACATACTGTTTAGCAGGCACTAGTTTGCATCAAGCATGTCTTGAGCATTTAGCCATAGGTTCTCACCTAATTGCAGTAAATATCATCATTGTTCATGCACCTGGGCAATCCAAGCCTGACATAAAGGTAGGTCTGGATTGAAATCATTGCTTGACTCATGCATGGCCTGAAGGAGGGTGGTATGTATTTTACAGTATTATATTGTAGAGGTCCTGTACATGGCTCAGTTTATAAAAGCATGTCACAAGCAACACTAGAGTTGTGGGTTCGATTCTCACTGGGGTCACATACCAAAATGTGTGTACTGTTGTCACTTTGGATAAAAGTGTCTGCTATGTAAATGGCATATAGTATGGTATTACAGTACTGTCTTGGCAAATGCAATATTTTGCTTAGAGACTGAGATCCTAACTACACGTCTCCATAAACAGAAATAAACATAATTCATCATACCCCTTGTATCTTCAAATGATCTTATGAGCATTTAATCCAATTAGGATGCTATTGGTGAGCTTGTGGTTGTGTATGTCACAGCAAGAGGAAGAGAGTTTAAAACCTGAACACATCTCAAACACCCAGAACCCGTCTCTCTTGCCCTCCTGTCTGTGCATGGCAACCACACTTTCCAGTTGTGGCTAAGCCTGGCAAATCATTATTACCACACGATTCAAGCTCTTTAAAATTACATTTACATTTGAGTCATTTAGCAGACGCTCTTATCCAGAGCGACTTACAGTTAGTGAGTGCATACATTTTCATACGAACCCACAACCCTGGCGTGGCAAACGCCATGCTCTACCAACTGAGATACACAGGACTAAAATGTTTTCCAAATGCTAATGTAGTTTTTATTATCATGATTGTGTCTCCACATAGCAACGTTTCCTACTGCACTCTGTATTGCCTTACTGATGGAGCTCTCTCTCTCTCTCTCTCTCTCTCTCTCTCTCTCTCTCACTCACTCTTATTGTGTGTCTGTCTCTCTTTCCTCTCTCTCTTTCTCTTTCTCTCTCCTCTGAAAGTGAGAGGAGGGGCCAGATAATGTTAAAATGTCAACATGCAGCTAGAAAGTGTATTCAGTATACATTGTAAAATCTTTATGTAATTTAACAGACACTTTTATCCAAAGTGACTTACAGCCATGTGTGCATACATTTTACGTACAGGTGGTCTAGGGAATCAAACCCACTACCCTGGAGTTGCAAGGGCCACGCTCTACCAATGAACTATGGAAGACTATTCACCCCTGAGAACTAACAGAGGGACACTTTGATAACAGGTCACAGTTGGAAGCCGTCCTATTGCCTCTGACCACAGAACAGCCGTTATTTTCTGTTCTGTTAATTTCCCTTTCTGTTCATGTAAAACTAAGTTGAGGTTAAAGGTTAGGCAAAGCAGTCCTTAATTTGACTAGCTTACTAGCTCAGATCTTACTTGCACAGAACTGGCTGATAGAGGTTATTTTGGAATGATTGTGATACTATATGTGGTTATCTTACCTACTTTAGTTGAATGCACTGATTCTAAGTCACTCTTGATAAGAGTGTCTGCTAAATGTGGGTGCAGAGGACTGAGAACATGGTTTGTGGTGTCAGCTCTCTTGCTTGAGAGAATCCGTAGGTACCACATCTCCCATATAAGCAAGTGAGAATGACAGCGACTGACCCATATATACACTGAGATACATTGGAATAACCTGTTCCAATTTCAAAACACCTTGATATCCTATTCAATGTAAACACATTACATCAACCACAACAACCTTCTGAATAACACTTTGATTATTTATATTTTTTTCATAGTGTCTTTAGGATTTACAACAGTTAATTATACTGTATGTCAAGTCATATTACAGCTAAACAATAATACACAATGTTACTTTTATTGTTTTGCAACACACACCAGGTTTACTTATGAGGGGAATGAGAGAGTCAGAGACCGGTACAGTTATATGCAAATATGATATTGATGAAACATTCAGCACCGTATGTCTGATTGTGGCCAGGGTAAATTATTCATTTAAACGTTAAAGCAGTTGATGAGTTCTTTGCCAAGGCAAATTTCAACCCCCCACACAGCTTGTTTATCCCACCCACCACTAGCAAGTACTATCTTCTAGTATAGGTATCACCTGGCTGAGTTGGCCAACGTCTCCACACAGATCTCTGGTTACCTCCCCACAGGGCACCCCACCCTTCCCACAGTCTGGCTGCTCCTCCCAAAGAAATCATTCCTCAGGCCAGCCTTAAATCAGGGAGATTCCAAGACTCTTCCAAGCAGCGTTGTGTTACTATCCCACTGGTCTTCAGTTTCAACCCCCCTACTTTCTCTCACTAACTTTTCACTCAGATTCTCTGGAGAATTTGAAATGAGACAATGAATGCACACAGAATGGGACGCGTACAGTATAAGTGAACTGTGTTACAGTAAATGTATCTTACCTTTGTTGGCGTCTGCCTATGGTGAAGAACACTGCAAAGATTCCTGGGAACACAAGGCTGCTGCTGGGATAACAGGATAGTATCTTCCTCCATGCCTCTCGTCTTTGTTGTGTGGTGTGGAGTTGTGTGGGGGGGAAGCTAATACAATACATGACATACCGTGCCTTCAGAGCCAAAGCTTGAATGAACCCCTAGGCTTATATACTGTATATACAGTGCCTTCAGAAAGTATTCACACCCCTTGACTTTTTCCACATTTTGTTGTGCTACAGCCTGAATTTAAAATGGAATACATTTAGATTTTGTGTCACTGGCCTACAAATTCATTAAAATTCAAAAGCTGAAATGTCTTGAGTCAATAGGTATTCAACACCTTTGGTATGGCAAGCCTAAATAAGTTCAGAAGTAAACATTTGCTTAACAAGTCACATACAGTAAAAAGTTCCATGGACTCACCCTGTGTGAAATAATAGTGTTTAACAAGCTATTTGAATGACTCCTCATCTCTGTACCCCCACACATATAATTATCTGTAAGGTCCCTCAGTCGAGCAGTGAATT